AGCTCCTTGTCCAGATGTGATGGCAGGGTGGAGTCCTTGTCCGAGTGCTTGCGCTTGGACGGCTCCGGGCCAATGTAGAGTTGCTTGAGGATGGTGCGGGCCAGACGATAGAAATCGCCGTGCGCGGTCCTCACGGGCTCCGGGGGTGACTCAAGCGTGGGAGGGCGATGCGTAGCCCCGCCATAGCCCGAGGCTCCGTAACCAAGGTGAAGTGGGTAGACAGAGTCTCCGGTGCAGCCTGAGTAGTCAATGAGGACGAAGCAGGCCGGGTCCGCCCTCAGCATGATGTTGTCCGCGTGGACGTCGGCATGTACGATGTGAGCTCTGTGAAGCATTTCCAGGGCTGCACTGATGTCGTATTTGAGCCTGATGACTTCCGTGGTACGAAGGGCGCGTCGAGGGACCGGCCAGAGCCTGGGCATCAATGAACGGCGACCGCTCGTAGCGAAAATGGTGGTAATCACGGAGAGGGCAGGCACTCTTTTGAGCCTGGAGAGTTCACGCTGCCATTCGACTTCATCCTGCTGGCGGACTGTGCGAATGACAAAGCGCGGGTCGGACTGGCAGGCATGAACCTCTGAAGAGTTTCCCTTGCCGATTGCCTGGCCAGCCGCGTTCCCGGCCATCAATGTCCTCAAAACCTCAGCCGGTGGGGATTGGAGCTGCGCCGGGGCTGGCATGCTAGGATCGTCGAGCAGGGACTTCGCCATTTCGTCCAAGACTGCGCGGGCCTCTTTAGTCGGATCGAGGACCGTCCAGGCGGCCATGGCTGCTACTCCGCTGCGGACTGGCCTGGAGAAAAAATGAGCTAGCTCTGCAGAACAGGCTGAGATAACAGGGCCTGAAAGAGATGCAGAGGCAGCTAGTTGCAACTTTCTACCGGTGCTGCGGTCGGTGGTAGCTGTGAAGCAGCGCATGCAAGCGCTCTACCAAAAGCCATGGCCAGAGGCCCCGAAAATGGCACTACAGGGTCACAGAGTGCACCCTGCTCAGTCCTGATCCTTCTTCTTCCAGACGAGCTCAATCTTGTTGAACTTGGTGCGAGGCTTTGCCGAAGGAACTGACGACTTGGTCTGCTTGGAAGGCGAGCTGTCGCTGCGTGACGATTTCGGCTTTGGGGGCGTAGGAGGGCGAGCACGCCCTGACGCAAGAAGAGCACTGTTCTGGTCCTTTTCCTGCGCTGTGTGCGACGAGTCATCTTGGGTACGTGATGACGAGCCGTGGCCACGGTCGCAAGCGTCTTGCCATAGTTGGGCGTAATACTCCAGGCTGTGCGGGAGCGCTGGCATGGCGAGACCTGACTTTCTCTTGCTGGTATTGTGGCCTGTCTGTAAACTGTTGAGCCAGCGAAAGACTCTGGCGAACAAGTGAGGCAAGTGTGCAATGCAGGCGATCACAGTGTTTTCGGGGTCTTGGCAGGAACTGTTTGTGCAAGAATCCTACCTCGAACTGTACAGGTGGGCCCAGCCCCCGAACTGAACCTAAGTGGCCCAAGGCCCCGTTTGAATGCTACTGCGATTAGCGATCCGAGGGTTTGCCTCGGGCCTTGCGAACCAAGGCACCCGGAGCTCGTTTGCCGAGTCGTTCGCCGTCGCAGCAGTCAAGCAGACCAGAGATGAATTCGGACTGCCGGGCCAAGACAGTGTTCAGAACCGGGCGGAAGTCCAGGATGACGTGCTCCTTTTTGGCGCTCAAACGAGCAGAGCAGTAGGAGACCATGTGCACCAGGCTTTCGTGTAGATCCGGGCCAAGTTCCTTGACGACTTTCTGCAAGTACTTGTTGTCAGCGACGCAGAAGTTCTTGGGTGGGTCCTCGATCTTGGAAAGTTCTTTTAGGAACGAGGCAGCCGTGTAGTGAGAGCACGACCCCCAGGGGTGGGAGGCGCCGGCGGCGCCGGCCTTGTGTTCAGCCTGCC